GCAATAAAAAAATGTCACGGTGGCGCCACCGTATAAAAGACGACTCGACTTTGAGTTTGATGGCGAAGAAAGTGATTTATTTGTTTGACAGAAGAGCAGGGGATTCTTCCCCGGTGATTTTCGATATCACAGGTGTCAAAACATATACAGAGTTCAAAAGAAGGGTTGCTACCGTAAGTTATTGATCTTTTGTAGTTTGAACCAACAACACTAGGGGAGACGAATTTTGCTTAAGTTAAGTTCAAAGTATAGGCGCCTGACACATAGTGCAGGAGGGGCACGTGCCCCTCACTTTTTCCAGTTACTGAGTTAGTGTACGTACATTATTATCAATATCAACAAGCGTTAGATTGACTTAATTTTGTTTTTATCCTTACCCTACTTTCCAACAAAGGTAGGCTTTCATGGTTTTAAGAAACGTTATTCCTCTTTGCCAACCATTTGGTTGTTTTTAATTTTAGTCTGGGCAGGCAAGGCCCAAGACCAGTGATATAGTTAAGTTTGACTTTGAATAACACTAACAGTGTTTATTAATTATGTTATTAATTAATTATTGTTAATAAACATTCATGCATTTGCTTACTAAGCTAAGTTATTTCTACCTCATGTAACTGTGAATTAGACTTAGAGTCTTTAAAGTTTAAGTTTAACTTGATTTTGTTCATGGGATAAACAAGGTATATCATTAATTACTATATTGATATTAATACTCCTTTAGTATATTTGACCATACTACAACTAGGTATTTTGTCTCGACTAGGGTGAAAGTGATTTAGAGTTCTGAATGTGTGAAATTGTTTTTATATGAAAACTTGTTATTTACAATTATACTTACGTTAATAGATTTTTTAAAAACAGAATGTGAGTACAAACACAGTGGCTACCACAAAGTATCAGTGTTAGTATGATTGATTTAATGGTATGTTAATTGTTATCCTTTTATGTCTGCCACCTGTATAATATTTTCTGAGTGCTAAAGTATTCTGATGCCATTTGAGTATAAACAATCATGTTTTATATATTTGGATTGAGTGTTTGTTCTTGATCTATAAGCTGAAATGGCTGAGTCGTAGGCATAAACACCATGTATATATGTGTGTGTGTGTCAGAATGTAAAAAAAGAGTTTACTTGGAAGTTACTGCTGACATGGGCACTTTTTCTATCCAAATAGAATTTTTTCTCCACCCATACAACTTTAGTAAAGCAAAAAATTTTTGTTGTCAATGATGTAATATATAATGACTTAACCTGAAACTACTTTTTTGTCATAATAATACACCACTAAACATGAAGGGTGAAATAACTTGTCGACACTCAAATTAAGCTCTATTAACAAGCTATGTTGTTTTGTTACACAATCAAATTATTTCAATTCTATTAACTTGTATTCTTATTAAGAAAATGTAATCTAGATGGTGTTGTTCAGATTCTAGAAATAAAAAATATTTTCTTAAAATCAGTAACATATATTACATTTTTTTTCAATGATTTTATAAAAATTGGCCAGTATTGTGTTCAATTTTACCTGCTGAAGAAGTATAGAGTATTTCTTTTAATGACATCCAAATTTTAATATAATTTCTTTGGTTGGATATGAAAATAAAGATATACTCAGTTGTTTGTCATTGGATAGAAAAGTTTTAATTAGTCCTTGAAAAGCCTGAGGTGAAAAAATAAAAGTTTTCCATTTGAATCGATTAACAGTTGTCTTTACTTTTAATTTGATACATCAAGATGGACAACGTTGCTCACGTAACCAAGCATCACCTTTCTCATGTTTGTATGGAGAGTCTCATTATCACCATATGTAAAACATTTTTATTTTACCTCTGATGTGGTATAATTCTTATATCTTAAATGCTTCCCTGATTTTCAGTCATGTAAAGCAATAACAAATATAACTTTATCCATTACTAAAGTTACTATATGAAGAACTAATCCACCTGTATACTGAACATTAAAGTGTACCACACAGCAATTTCATTATGTATAAATTATGGAATCATACAATTCATTTACCAACCACCACCAACAATATATGTGCACACACATATAAATGTACAAGCTTTCCAAATACCACAAGGAGAGAATCAACAAAGCAGGCAAAATTTGTGTCAATAAATTTCCAAATGTACAGACATCCAAAGAAAAAATACCACTCTGTGAATATTTAGAAATTTTAAACTGTACAAGATACTTTGCCGGTGTTTTGGCACTAAAGCTATATTAATTGCCATTTAGACTTATGAAGAAAATTCTAATTTCCCAAATTCCTGAATGCTTTGGAATATTACGATTGAAAGTCAGTTGTGATTTCATGATGAAACCAGTCTAAGTTCTGATTGTGGAAATACTGGGCCTTGGTTACCCATTCATGTGACTACCAGTTTGCCCTCTTTATATACCTTGCCACTGAACTATGAAAATTAGTATCATTTGTATGTTCGAGTTTGATGAGCATCACTTAGCACTGGGGTGAGTACATCAGCACGAACACATGAGTTAATATATTTTTTATTTATATTTATACAGTGCTGAAGTATTTATAGTACATGTACTGTCCCTATTGAATTGATTGTTACTTGGTATATTAGCCTTTGATCAATGAGAAGATCTGAACCTCGATCATAAAAGTCTTTTTTGATTAAAGTGTACTGGCCATTTTCATCCAAATAGTATAAAGTAAAGTTCAGTAATTGTCATTTAGATGACCAGTGTTACATAGCACATATTTACATTCTATGAATCCATGTGATTATTGAAATGTTGCAACATTTTATTGAAAGAGAACCTATTTTTCACACTTCAAAATGTATGTATTTCAAGATCACTGACTGGAAGGGTAAGTGAATAGATTATGCACTTGTAAAATTGACTTAATTGCACCAGTTACCTATAAGTATCAATGACATTGACTAGTGTTACATAAAATAATTGATTAAGTGAAATTACGATTAAATCAATTAATGTCATGAAGATAACAAAACAAAATCAAAATCACTGTTTTCAGTTATTCCAGCTATTCAAGTTATCAAAATATTGTCCTTATTCTTTTTGATTAATTCAAATTTGTTCAGCTTAATCGATTAATGTTATGGCTTATGAAAATAATCAATTAATTAAAATTAATGTTTCTGAGTATTACTGTTTTTGATTATTTCAACTAATCAAAATGTTACCATTGTGAATTCTCATTAATAGTTTCAGTTTTTTCAGCTTAATCTATAAGTGGTAAAACCCAGTACCAATAAATAATTGGATTGACTATGACCAAAGCCAAGATAGAAATCCTGGGCCCTGGTGCTTCCCATGATTCTGGGCCCCTCATCCTCTCTTATCTCCACCCAGTTTTATATATATTATTTTTTTCCCTTGCAAGACTCACCAAAATGCAGCATCAGCATAATATTAATTTTTTTGAGAAAGCACGAGAAGGAGGACTTTTCAGTATCATTTGTGTGGAAAATATTTGCTTGAGCCCAGGCCATGGCAACTTGCACCGGCTACACTCCCCATCTCTCCTTGACTGTGACACAACACAGCAGCTATTACTATTAGCATGGCTATGTATGTTGATATGCATGCATCCTGCTTTTAACTCATAAATGCAAGGGTGTGGCCTAATGATCATTGGTTACATAAGTAGCAACACTGGTATTCACGTTTACTTTGTTTGGACTAATCAGCTTTAACTTAATATTATCCTCACTTATCACAAGTTACCAACCTAACCAGTGTTACTTAGGGGAAGATTGCTTCAAGAAAAGAAGTTACACAAAGTTTATATTCATTATTTGCTCAAAAAACATTGATGGCTGAATAACTTGCTCACTTAACTGTTTCTCAGAAACTGCTAGACAAGGACTAATAACAGTCTAACAATATATAATATTATTAAGTTATCAACCAGCTTACACAAACTGGACTCTTGTTTAATTATGACTAGCTATTAAGTGGATAACACTAAAAAAAGAAAACAAAGTCTGGCTGTTGCCACATTCTGCTTAAATTGTTTGAATTAATGGTATCTCAACATGCTCTTGTGCTTCTCTAGTTTTAGCTTATTATTCATTTTAGTGTGTTCTTTCTAAAGTTCCATCGATATCAACAACTTCTTGCATAAAAGCTTGTGATGTTTTTATAGTTATAAAGTACATAATTTTTAAAAACTTTTACCCACTGATAATGAAATTGAAAAAAAACCAAGAAACATCTGTAATTAAATTGTTTTTTAGATTATCATGACTTTGATATTTCTTATAATACTTCACTTTCTGCCTTATGAATAATTATAATCTCTTCAAAGAAGTCATCTAATATCATCCCAACTTTTCTTGCAAAACAGTAAACACTGCATGTTTTCACTGTATTATCTATTGTTTTACACACTGACAAGAATAATTTTGTCAAATGAAATCTGAGCTAGTGAGAATGAAATAGAGACTAGACACAATTGTACAGAAATACGGTAAACAAGCTTTATTATTTAAAAACACAAATTGTGTGTACTTGTTTGATACAACAGACTGTTACTGGATCAAAAATACTTTCTTTTTGAACTGCCTTTTTTGAAATCTTATTCGAGCCTGACTACCATACGTTACTTAGTTAAACCATAACATCATGCTTATAGAGAAAGATTAGCATGTCCTACACGACTGGTCATTCCTATTCAAACATATGGAAGGTTGTAACCTTTGACACCTCATCTGATCTACCATTGGAAAATACTGCTGTCTACTTTCATGTATAATGTGCACCTTTACAACCATGTCCCTCCGTGGGAGACCAGGAGTTATTTCAAAAGAATAACAAAGAACAAGGATAGGTAGAATGAAAGGAACTTAATGACTTTCTGGAAGTTACTGGAAAGCGTATCTTGTAATAAAAGTATATGAGGTATGCAACATTTAAATTTACTGTGAACTGTTTGGTTTTATTATATTTGATGCTTACACAATTCTTAGCTAGTTACCTCAGATATGTTGGCAACTGAGTATTTGCTTTCATTATTATTACTTATTTCCACTTTGCTTTCTGTCTGATGACCAATCGAGTGGCAAGCTGAATAGCTGGTTGCTCATGATGGCAGAACAGCACCAAGACTATATCAGTTCTTTGAGGGAGATGACTGTTTGAGTTAATACTGCCTGATTTTTGGACAAGAAACTGCATTTCATGCACTGGCTCCATTACCACATTAAACAGCAACAATGCACGAGACATCATTCTCAGTAAACTACGAAACACCATTTGTGTATTTGGAGGTACTGTGACTCCCTTAGCAACATATGCTCATGCAGACCACTGTTTTTGGGCCGAATCTGGCCAGTGTTGGATATCTTCTATATAGAAACACAGTTTACCTATTACATATGTAGAGCTGAGTGGCATCTGCAGTAAGTCATTCCCTTGGATTCCAATGACAGAACCAATAACAGAGATGACTACCTTCCTACTATGGTTTACATTGTCTAGATATAGTCAGAGACATGCCTCTTCAGTTACATCCATCTTATCACAATGTGCTTGAACAAAATCAGTGGTAACTGGCTTTACTAGCACACATAAAGTGCAATTCAGCCTTTAGAGAGCTAGGCTGACCCCCAAATCCTTTGGTGAAAGCTCTCTGCTGCCTTCTTCAGCTAGTGTCCAGACAAGACTTGAGCTCATTTTGTTTCCTGGAGCCAAGGTGACAACAGCTACAGCTTGCTGTCAGTACTCCTGCACATTATGTTTTTCCAGTTGGGTTATACTGTTAGCCTTGCCTACCTTGCTATAATGCAAGATATAAGCTCTTCATTTGAAAGTGACCCAAAAGCAGAATGTTTGGTCCTCCATTCCAGATCAACATCCAGGTGGAGGCAACATTTGCATTTGCTGCAGCACAATCATCGTGGGTGGGCTAAAGAAGCCA